ATTTACTCTTTTTATCGAACTCAATGTACATACTCGTATAAGCCAAATGCAGTTCGAGAAAGATTCTAAAAGATTTTTGAGTATTATTCTTTTAAATTTAAACAATTCATATTATATTTACAATTAATATTATATTTATTGTTGAAATGATAGATTTATTCAAATAAAAAGGGAAAATCAGCTAGAAATTTTATAAACAAATGAGAAGCGAACAAAATGGAACATAATTTTGACCCAATTTACTCTATGTTTGTTGGCAAATTTCATTTGTATTATCGGAAAGCAGATAACATTCTACATGTCAGAAAATACAATCTTTAGCTATTTTTTTAATACAGCAAAGAAAGATAGTTAAACGTTGAAAGCACACGTTGAACTGTCATAGGAAGTATCCAAATAGGTGAAATGGTGCCAGATTGTATTTTTATACCCGTTAGTCGTAGAGTAAAAGGGTATACTAGATTCGTTGAAAAGTATGTAAAAGATAGAAGGAAGCGTTTCCGACCCTATAAAGTATATATATTCTTGATCAGGATCAATAGCGAAGTCGATTGAGCCATGTCCGTCTGTCCGTCCGTCCGTCCGTATGAACGCTGAGACCTCAGGAACTATAGCAGATACAAAGTTGAGACTAAGCATGAAGATTCTTGAGGTCCCGGGACAGCGCAAGTTTATTTCCGCATCCTCACACGCCCACTCTAACGCCCACAAATCACGAAAAACTAAAATCGCTGAAATCTCGGGAACTATTAGAGCTAGAAAGTTTGAATGCCAGCGCAGCTTTTAGTGGTATTATTATCTGGCCACACCCACCCATACGCCCACCAAGCTCAAAAGACCGTTTTCGCATTTTCAAGAAAACCTGATATCTCGATAACTATAAGAGATAGAAAGTTCGCATTAAACATGTAGGTTTTTATGATGCTCCAAATGCGAATTGGTTTTTTTCCATCTAGCCACGCCCACCCTAACGCCCACAAAACCCGAAAAACCAACAGTGATGAATGGGGAATCTCGGGCATATCGATTAGGGGAGTGCCAGTGAGTCAGGAAATGAGTCAAGGATTTTCGCGGTTCGCAAGAAAGAGCCTAAGGTCACCCCGAACTTGTCATTGGCATTCCACGGTTGCAACCCCTGTGCAGCACAATGGGCTTTCTTGTTTTCCCCAAATCAGAAACATAAGTGCCGAGCCTTGAATCACAAATGGCAGAGCGGAATCAATCAGCACCCTCTATCTCCGTAGCGACATGACGAATGGCCACATCAAATCCAGACCAATTAGTAGCTGTAGTTCCAATAATCGTAAAGACTCAAACAGCGCCATGCGAACACGATTGATTTTAAAATTATTGCAAACGACATTCTCTCGGGTCCAGCGGTCTTGATTTTTTATTAGAAGTCAGGGTCCCGTCCATAATAGTGTTTGGTATTGGAAAAAAAAATAATTGCCAAGTTCATTTCAAGATTATTTCGGATATTGGGAAAAATGTCAAAGAAGTGGAAATTATTAGTCAAAGTAGGTGAGTAGCTTACAAGCCACCAACCAACCAAAATATAAGAAATTAATGGCCAATATGAATGATATTTATTAACAAACATATATTCCTATTTAAAGCACTGTCTAGGGGTCAGTTTAAGATATGACGTGAAAAGTCACAGGCTGTCACCGCACGTGGCACAGTCATTGTCTAATATTACCTGATTAGCTGATTGAAACAGCCTTCGAGTGGTTCCCTGGAATATGCTAACTAATAGCAATCGATATGGAAATGATACTGTAACAGAAGTCGGAAAGGGAATTAAATTTGATGTTTTATGAAGAGCGACTACTGCAGTTTGCTGTGTTTGTAGTTCGGGCCAGCGTTTTTATGTAACGCCCAATAGGCAGGCAAACTGCGAGTTTGTGAGGCGCCAATCAGCGGCGAAATAAATAAAGATGGAAGTGGGGGCATGGCTGGAAAAAGGGGAAAAGAGAAAATAATGGTTTATTATTTATTTACGTATTCGTCGTCGTCGATTTGTGTTTCTTTTCGCGTATGTGGCCCACAATTCAAGGCCAAACCATTATTTGTGCCACATTTCATTATATAAAGTTTCGATGTTTCGCCTTTTTGCCTTGGTGGGCGACGCTGTGTAAACATAGAAATATTGCCAAATTTACTGGCCATGTGAGCTGAATGGGAAATCAGATTTTGAAACGGTATTTGGCCCGATTGTTTACATATTTTCGATATTTTGGATATTTTCAATTGCACCGCGCCTGTAACAGATGGCGCAAGTAAACCCGTTCGCCCGTGACCATTCCTAACTGAATGCGAGGAAAGATCCCAAAGGTAACCGCCTTTCGGAAGTATATTGAAAACAAAAGCATTAATTAATTTAAAAGAGTTTATTTCCAATTGGCCAAAAACTTTTGCTGGGACCTAAATTTTGTTTTTTCCATTCCGGCAATTAGCATTTTGGCAATTTCGGAGCTTTCAGCTCAGTTCGGGCGCTGTTTTGTTCTGTTTTGTGTTTTGCGTGCTGCAGCTTTGCGGCTTATGCAACGCATTTTCAAATGAATTGTTCGGCAAATCAATTTGCATATTGCGCGGCACATTTGCGGTAACAACAGGCGGGGCGGCGACAACAGCACAAACATCGGATGCTGCCCCAAAGGTCGCGACGCCAGGCCATCCCCACGTCCCCACCCTGGCAATTTACAAAAATATTTTTGTGTTCACACTCAATTAATGCCAATTGACTGCAAAATTGCCAACACCTTTGACATGGTTTGAATGGAATTGAAAATGGAAATGGACGTGAATGTGGATGTGACGGTGGATGGTAGATGGTGGCAGAGCGAGCGCAGAGTATCTACGTATCTGGAATGCCCAAGCCAATTGACAGGATTGGCAAAGCTCGTGGTTGCGCCCCGCAAAGTAAATCAATAAATAAATAAATTGTCACATGCTAAATTCATGAGAAAATTCCCAAAATACATCAGTCGCATTGATAACAGGCAGCAAGAACAACAACCTCGAATTATTCACATTTTGAACGCAATTGAACTTTTCGCATAAATTTTCGTGGCAAGAAGACCAAGGCTTGTGCTGCTGTTTTTATTTTCACACACACACACACACACAAACAGACACACAGACACATGTGAGCAGTGTTGAATTGAATTAAATTAAATGTAACAGCTTAATTGATAAATAATTTGTATTGTTATTGCATTAAATCGACTGAACCGAGACAGAATGCGAGAATATAGCCCAAACCGAAAGCGTTGCCTAGCCAAGTTCAACAGATTATTTTAATGGTTGTTTGCTAAAGATACAAAAGATACTTGCCAGTGTTTTAGGCCCATAAAAACATTATCTGCATTTCTGCGTTGTATTGGGACGTCGCTCGTCGGTTTACTGCAGCGTTAATGAGCTGACACAGTAACACAGATTCGTGAACGCACTTTGTATCTGACCCGAGGAAATGTCAATATATATATGTATATATTACATAACATTCCTATTGGAAGATATAGCTAAGATTCGTTCATTTTATAATTTAGATTGGTTATTTCATTAATTCAGACACCCGTAACAGTCACTTTCGCTGCTTTTCCCTACCAAGAGCAGGAACAACCGACAGAGTGCGGTGCAAAAGAGACAAGTGCATGCTTATTCTTCTTATTTTTGTACCTTCTTTATATTTTATTCATTGGACCCTTGGTCTTGGTGCATGGTCAGTTATCGTGGCTGGCTGTTCGTCGGTTGCTGCGGCTATCGCTTCCGGTTTAAAATCACAGGCGGAGAAAGAGACGACGGCAACTGGGCAGAGGGAGACGGCAACCTTCTAAGCTGGCTGATCAAATCGGATTTAATTAGCTATGCAGCCCTAGTAAATGCGATTCCCATGCCAACCGCGAACCCTGGATTCTACATTTTTTGGTCGACCAACCGCCGTTTGCCATTTTTGCGCGACTCAGCGAACTCTTTAAATTCATTGTGAGTTTGCACTCAATATACTGTTCGGTTTCGGTTTTGTTTTAATTAAAATTATGTCAACGCAATTGAAATGTTATTGAACCAGCGGGAACGACGCTTGCCAAGTCGGCGAGTTCATTAATTTGGATTTTGTAACTTTTACACAATGCGCGGTAACCCCACAGCCAACAACACGGTCAGTGTTAATGCACACTCAACTTGTCGGGGTGTTCCTAATTTATGGTTATTGTGATAAGAAGCAGTCGGAGTCGCGACGAGAACATATCGGGAAAGTATATCGCAAGTATTTCTACAGTGGAGTCATCTTTGATTCTCCACATAAATATTAGAAATGATTGTGAAAATCAAAGGCTGCTTAGGAGGTTGATCCAATAGCTATCCTAACGAGGACAACGAAATCCATAGTCGATGAGCACCCCGGTGCCCTGTCCCAATAGACAGGGGCACTACACATATTTTGCTGCGGAGCCGGGATCGTAAAGTTTCGTAATAGCCCCTTTAGCAAGTGCAAACAGTTGGGTTTAATCAACTAAAACAGCGCAGAGCGAAGGGAAAGTGCGAAAGGAAAAACTAAATTGATCTGAAAAGAACAGAAGAGCGGGTGGTGGGTGGTGCTGTGGGTGGCACTTGTGCCTGCGAAACTTGTCAGCGCCCCCGCGAAATTGTTCCTTTCAGCGATTTATGGCAGGAAATTTATCAGCGGCAAAATGTACATGAAAAATAGGCAACTTAACGAGAACGAATTCGGTAAATGCTCTTTCTGATAATTTCGAAAATGTATAGCTTTTAAATGAAATTTAATGTGCGGGATATTTGCAACGATAGAAAATCAAATATTTTTTGACGTTTTAGATAAAAAAATATTGAAATGCTGAAACTTAAATCCCTTTTTATTGAAAATTAAACACAGGAAAGTCACAGTCCTTATCGATAAACTGTGCCGAATATAAATCATATTATATATTTTCTTGTTCGTTCCTACACATATCTGTCTGTAAAAAACGAATACTCACCCCAAATCAGGCCGCATAAAGTGAACTTATGAATTTGTGAGGTGGGCTCCGGCAATCTTATGCAGGATGCACAAGCTCCTTCTGGCTGGGAAGTTCTCGCTGGGAATTTGGGTACGTCTGCAATTAAACAAGGAAAGCCAGTCCAAATGAAAGCCTCCGAGTGTTTAATAAAGTTTTATAAACTAAATTGAAGGGGAATAAGCAACGGAATGAGAGCGGTCTCGTTGTCAACAGGAAATGTCCGAAATGGCGCAGTAAAGAAAGTAGCCGACCTTGAGACCAAATTTAAGAATTTCAGTTATGATTTTGAGTGTGTACACAACATCCGGAATACGATAAGCGATTTAGTGGTGCTTTCGCCCCAAAACTTTGAGAAACAAAAAGCTATAATTAGACTTTCAAGGCCGCAAGTAGCTGAGCACTGTATTCCTTCATCGCATTTGAACGTTTCAGTGATACGTATCCAGTTATTTGTTGAATTTGACAGTTTAATTCTACGGCTCGGTGAACGAACCGAGCCCCAATCAAAGTCCCCTCTCTCTCTTTAACCCTCACGCAACGCCCCGAATGTACGAGTATTTTAACCCGCATGGCGGAGCGCATCAGAGATGTAGGTTCTGACCTGTTTCCCACTACGGCACGAAGTTGGGAAAAGAATTCCCGAAATAGACAAACGTTTTTTTAAATAATTTCGCTATAGCCCGATTTAGCTTAGCAAATAGTATTTATATAAATAAAACTGACCTGATGATGGTCAAGCTAGGCTAACAAGCATTTTTTATTATGTATATTTAATCAATAGAAAATAAAATGAACAATTTAGCGCTACCCATTATGATAATAATTATTGTGATGATAAGCCACTAATAACCTATTGAATGTGAAAAACAGGCACATCAGATGTAGCCGATGGCATGCTTTGCTGGTGATTTGAAAATCAAACACTCTGACATTTCGATTTTCCAGAAAACTTCCACTGAGCCTCCAAAGATATTGTGTTCTACAGATGTTGAAGAACAAAGCCAGACCAGGCTATACCCCCACAAATTGTTTATGTAATCGACTCAATAAGTGAATAGAAATTTGCATTGGGCAATGAGATTTTCTATGTCGCCCCCTAGACATTCAAGTTCGTGTTTGCTAATGGGTTTGAGGGTCTCGGGCAGGGGGTTGGGAGGTTTGGTGGTTATGTGGTTAGGGCTAGCGTTAAAACTTGTCCAGAAATCAAGTGGGCAATCAAGAAAGCAGCCAGAAAGCCAACGAAGCGCAAATCAAGAAAGATAATAAACATAAAACAAAGGAGAAATGCCGTTGAGTGCCAAAAACAAGTTTAAATGTCAAAATGTTACCCCCAGACGGCAGCAAAAAGAAAAGCACGAATATAAGTTTCCGAGGGGCAACAACACAACAACAATTGCTACAATATTGCAAGTGGCTGGGGCGCCGCAACAGCAAAAAAAATCAAATAGGCGCCTGTTGCAATCGACATACGTTGTTATTAATTTTCAGCTCTTTTTTAGCTTGATTTTACTGCTGTTTATAATTCGCGCTTATGCAAAAAATGCTTAAATTGAACGCAATTTTTTATATGTTTTCTTCTGGCAATAAAAACGTAGAATGGGGTGGGAATGCAATAACAACAATCGCAACGAGTTGGCGACGAAGACATATAAATGATAATCACTATAAGTCCGTTGAAATTTATGAACAATGAAAACTTCAACGACCACAAAAATGCCGGACCTGAGAGGAAATGTGGCTAAAATTAAGAAGACGTCAAGCAAATTTATATTCAGGGGTTTGTTCTCGCGATGAATTCGAAGGGGAACTTTTTCAAAAACGAGTAAATTCATAATTACTGGTACTAAGCGGGCGGCGCATAGTCCTTCCACAAAAGTCAGAGTCAAAATGAGATATCATGCCAATATTATTCTAATCACTGATTGAGCAAATTTTTTTATCTTTTCAACTGAACTTCTTTGTAACTGAAAATTATCTGTCTAGGTCTTGAACACCGGGTCTTGGAAAACGGACTCCAAGACCTCAGCCGCGGCCAAGACACGATTAAAGCGCAATCAATTGCGATTGACAACGACAAGAAGCCAGCACCTCATGATCCCGGTCATCGTCGTCGCTTATAGTCTGTACTCTATACTCTATAGTCTATAGTCTATAGCCTATGGTCGATGCATTACGTCTGTAACGGTGGCCCGCTCAAAGAGGGGTGGGTGAAGTGAGGCTTAAGTCATATTAATTATCAACAATGACATATGTATAAGAGTAAAAAACAAACACATTTATAATTTATAATTTGACACTGAAAATGATAAGAAGGAAGGTAAGGCTTGTAATGCACAAATATCCCATGGGCTGTTCCATTTCAAACACCCCGATTAGAGAAGAAGAAGAGCAGCCATATTGACTTCGAATATTCATCTTTTGATGATGAAAGAAATAGGAATTATATATACTATGCTCCCTAGGTCAACGTTTTGCACTCGCAAAATGTTTTCGACAATCGTTTTTACCTTTCCACGCTTTTCTTAAACTGATTGGCTTTTTCGATTTGGATTAAACTAAGACGGGGCACACTGTCTTGCTCGGTTCGGATCAATTCGGTTCTCTAAAGTCGTTAAACTTTCTATGTCTGGGCTTATCACTGCTGTGGCTGCAGTTTCTACGGTTGCCGCCATGCTGCCCGCCAGCAACATGTTGCAGATAGGACGCAACGACTGCCGCTTGCCCGCTCATTAGCCCAGTGATTTTAGACGCGGCGGGCCACTAACAATAGGGCATCTATTGCAGCACTGATTTATCTAGCATCTCACGTTCGGGAAGAGCTTGGTCGTGATCCACTGGTAGCATGCCGTTGGATGGTGGACTCTGGGCACTGGACAGTGGATGTTGGCCACTCGCGAATTCCAGTTTCTGTTTGCCGCGCTTGTTTAGTCAGCAGCATCAATTCAATTGCACCACAAAATTATTGACAGCGCCAAAGTTAACAACTCTCGATGTTGCTGCTGTTGGATCGCACATTATTTGCTACACTCGAAGAAAATAATTGAATTTCAAAGGTTTCTCAAGTGAGGAACGATAGGCCGATAGTTTGGCAACATTATTAAGCACAATAATAAACCAAGGAGTAAGCTTCCGATCTAACTGATCTGATCCAATTTAAACACTTAAATCATAAAAACATTAATCATAGAACAATATTAAATACTTTATTAATATATCTTTGATCAGAAAGTAATTTTAAGTTCTGCCACTGTAGCCGCTGAAAGCTGGAAGCCGCTCCAGAAGATGCCACACGCAGCAAACACAGCAACTGCAACACCAGCAACAGCCGCATCAGCAACAACAGTTGCAGCTGCAGCAAACTTTGACCCCAAGCTGCATTCTCAGGCCACCGGGGCGACCAGGGTGGCGGCCAGGGTGGCGGCCAGGGGGATTCATGAAAGAGGGCGTTTCCAAGGGCCACTGGCAAATTGCTCGCATGGCTGGCATTTCGCTGTCGCAACAGTTTTCAAGCATTTCTCACACGATTTTGCAGTGCATATGCTCTTAGATCTCGTTTTGAATAGTTGTTGATGCTGCAAGTGCTTCGTATTTCGGGCCCCCATTGTTTTCTGTCAGTCTGATCATGTGACCGACCAAGAAATTGATCATGCCATGCCTTGTGCCCAGCAGCAAAACTTCCGCACGACTCATTGAAAGTTCTGCAGAAATTTTGTGTTGGTTATCACAAAAATTAAAACATGTCCCCATTTCCAAATTTCAAGAAAGAAAAAGTGTATTTCCGTAATTTTGCGTAATGTGCGTAAAACAACTTTAACTTTGATTGCTTTTGGATATTATTAACATCGAAGCTAGAACTTTTCGTTCTTTAAAGATAATGTCTTGTGACCGTTAAATTGCTGATAATCATCTCATGTGCTTATCGTGTTTATTTGTTTAAAAGGCTGATGTTGCTGTCATAAAAGGAAAACCCAAAACACGACACACTGGATAATAAACTACAACAGCAGCAACAGCAACCAAAAACACTGCGGAAACCAACAACTAACATAAACAAGAAATGACTTAACAAAAAGTGCCAAAATATGGGGGAAATGGAGCTCAGGAAAGTGGAATAAAAATGCCAGAAAGCCAAACGAGAATTTCCAACCAAAACATCGCCTGACCACCGCAAACAGCTGTAACGGACGCCAACAATTACACCGGCTACATTGGCGTTCCAGCAACAACAGCAACAGCAACACAGCAGCAGCAACATGAACACGGTAGCAATACCAAGAGTATCAGCAGCAAACACGCTTTTTCATTTTTCGCGGACCCAAAAACATGTAATAAAAATGCTATGCGTTCCCTGAACGCACGCCTATTCGCCGCACACCTGCCACGACTACCCCCTCCCTTAAGGCCACACCAACGCTGCCACGCTCAACACCTGCTGCCAAAAAACACAGGGCTGGATGTTAGGCTCTGGGTACACAGCGATAGCATTGCCAAAACATATGCTTTCACACTTGCCATGCCCAAACAAAAAACGGTGGAAAAGGTGGCAATGGGAAAAGCTGGTGGGAAAAGTGGTGGTAGAAAATGAAGAATGTGCATGGAAAGCCCTGACAAAATTGTCTGAGTTCTATAACACGAAAGACCTAAGAGCACAAAGGAAACCTCCGGGGAAAATCTCGAGGAAACAAAACTGGGAAGAAAACAAATCTATACTAACATCCTCGAAAATAAACACAAGCAGGAATTACCTTCACTTTTGGCTACAAAAAACAACCAGTTAGAAATTGTAAAGTAAATATAACCATACTAGCAATACTCAATTCATTTGAATAAACTTACGTATATGTGTATTAAAAGTTGTTTCCATTTTGGAAGTTTTTAACTTAACTTGGTCCAATTTGTAATTGTTTGTTGTTATTTGTTGACTTTTTATACCCGTCACTCGTAGAGCAAAAGGGTATACTAGTTTCTTTGAAAAGTATGTAACAGGTAGAAGGAAGCGTTTCCGACCCTATAAAGTATATATATTCTTGATCAGGATGAATACCGAAGACGAATGAGCCATGTCCGTCTGTCTGTCCATCTGTCTGTCCGTCTGT